TTTTTTTTTTTTTTTTTTTTTTTTTTTGGCAATCGTTGTTTCTTGAGTATATGATTATGAATGCTGGGTGGGATTTTTAAGGATGTTTCCAGATGTCATTGACCTAAAAGGATAGCAAGGTTTTGTCATTATTGGTTTTATTAATTCTTCCAAAACTCAATAAAGATGAAAGGATGATTCATAAGCAGCTCAATCACCATTTAGACAACTAACTTTTCCACAAATTTATGAAATATGCTATTTATGTTGGTAATTGTTATTTTAATAAACTAGTTATGATTGCCTTTGTGCTGTAGGGATTGTTCAATTCAATAGCATATGGCCTGAATTCTTCAGTGCGGCGGGCAATTTGTGAAAGACTAGACCTGTAAGTATACCTGCTCCATATATTTTCTTTTCATTCTTGAATTTTTTCATATGGACATCCAAATACCTGTCTCTACTCCATTAGTTAATACCTGTCTCTATTGTAGTCGGTTAGGATCCTGGAACTCTACTTGGTATAGGATTGATAATAAAACCCCCCTTTCCCTCTGCCCTTCAGATAAAATGAACGAAGCTATGATCCTTCATTATTAAACTAATGTGTGTGCTATCTTTTAAAGCTATACTTTTCTTAAACTCTGTTGTACCGTCTTGTTACGGAGCTAATGTAAGAGATTTCGACTTTCAGTATAGAAATACGTTTGAACTTCATTAAAGAGTGTATTGTGGGCCAAGATGAAAAATGTCTGAATTATCATTGGCAATGGATAGTGATAGAAGCCGAAGTCGTGGTTTTCTTGGATAGTTTGAGTAACAAATCCAAATTCTATTGAGTATTTTAAAAAAACTTCATCTTCGAGTTACTATCTCGAGACTTTGGGCTTCAGTGACGGATAAGTTCAAAGAAATGAATTGAGAAAACTTTGCTTTTGCAATTTCCTTAGTAGTCTCGAGTCCCTGATACAGTGTGTCAACAAAAAAAGGAAAATGATTTTGATTGCTTGTTTTTGCGTATTTTGACCAGGTTTGGGCTTGAAAAACTTCGAAGATGGCTTCCCAGCAATCCAACGCTCCCAAACCAACAACAAGAAGGTGAACTGGTTCCCTTGAGAAGTCAAGATCAGCCTTAGCGAATTAGTTAATGGATGTGCCTTCATCGGCAGGACTTCCTTTACAAGACTTATTTCCTCCGTTTTTCCCGAGGGCATGTAAATAGGAGCTGAGCAACTCATTGCGCGTAGGTAAGCTAAGGACCATCCGTTCTGTTGATATGATTTTCATGATCGTTACGCGGGTACTGATATTTCACTGTTCTCTGATAGACATGATGATAGAGAATTTAGCAGTCTCTCAAGTGGTGGTCAGGGGTGGAAAATCGTGGATTATGAAGCATTGGATACTGAATGTGTAGCTGCCTGATCAGAATTCCTGTATGCTACTTTAAGCACCGTTCATTTTCAATTTATAATTGCTAAGCGTTCACGCAGATTTAATATAACACAACATAAACATTCTATTCGATGCTCGTCACTTTTTTTGCATATTTCTACTTCATTACAATATTATTGACTGCGAAAGATCGGATTAGCCACACGGTACAAATGCACCTGGTCACCCATCTTATTGTGTCAAATGCTTTGGAAATTTTGTCGTTACGTTTAGTAATGGATATTGTTCTAGAAAACTCTGATTTGACAGCTAATTTTATCTTGATTTGTACTTTGTTATTCAATTTAGTGGGATTCATTTGTGGCTTCTGAATAATCCCAATTTCCATAAAAAGGCATGTATCATCAAATCTCAGATCATTTGCAAGGTTGATTGCTGAGCCGCCGCAATCGCAGCACATGCTTTAGCTATTCAGTCTGGGTGGGACCGTGGCTCCATCTGTGGTGGCGATCGCTTCCTGTTGCAGATAAGCATGAGGTGGAAGCTGCCGTTTCTAAGAAGCCAGCTTTACAGATAAGCTTTTTTCACTCTGAATTAAATTCTTGTCCATTTTACATATTAGATTTTTAAATTTGTTTTCGACTAAATTACAAATCATGTCTTTTGGGCTTTGTTTCTTGTTCTGCCTTCCAAAATGAATTTATAAAACTTATTCTACCTACTTCTTCTCTATTTAGATTTTCACTTTTTGGTTAAAAAAAAAAAAACGACTGCCTTGGGTTTTTCAGATTATCTAACAAACCTTTTATTGCATCTTTTTCAACGATGTATTGCCAATGATTCAAGAGTTTTCAAATTCTTAACTAAAATTTCAAGATAAGCATGTCAAACAGTCATGACTCACAGCCACTAGAAATTATGTATCTTTAGATAAGAGATTAGGTTTCGAAAAATTGTAAAAACTAAAATAAGATTTTAAGATACTGAAGAAACTCTGTTTTCCCCTCCTGTTATTGACAAAGGTACAAGAGGATGTGAAAATCTTGAACCGGGATAAAAGCTGTGAGATATTCTTACTTTGACAGCTAGTATGCTGAAAGGATGAACAGAAAGCATCTAAAATAAGATCGTAAGTTGAGTTTAAACAATAAAAAGAAAAAGAACAAGAAAACTCTGGGAATGATGCTTCCTACAGTTTGAAAACTTGAGAAGACAGCTAATGATTGGGGAAAAGAATAATTATGCTCTAAACTAACTTCTTCCACACGTTGCACCACAAAGAGATTTGACCCAGATAAGCACTTTATGCTGTTTGAATGTCAAATCTAGTCAATGTCTTTTGGTCTGCTTTAGATTGAGAAAGTTATGTTGATTTTTCACATTTATTTGAGTATTTATTTATGTGCATCCTAGAAAAAGTCAGGTCTTCATACGAAATAGAAACGTAGACTCAAAGAAGCCCCTTTTGTCTCTCCAAGATTATCATCTTTTTCTTCATTCTGCTCTTAACCATCAGCCCCTTTTGAAATATTCCACAAGACTTTGAGTCAAATCCTAGCATTAGAAAGGTAGGGAAACTTCTGGAGGATAAGATCACAATCAACTCAAGGCCTTTCTTCCATTCCCTTCGCAATTCACACAATGAATAAGGTGAGTTTGTTTTGTCTGCACTTGCAGAAGGAGTTGGTTTTTTAAGGCATAATAACAGTAGAGGCGAGTGGGGCTGAGTTGGATACTTGTTCATGTGCTTGGTATCAATGGCCCATTGTCCTTTATCTTTTTCTAATTGATTGGACGTTTTTCATTGTTTTCAAGTGGTACGAGTGTTTTAACCAACAGGGCCTATTGGCTTGGTCTGTCAACTCCATGGCCCTACCTACTCTCAACTCTGCTTTCCTTCTTTCTCTTCCTTTCTTCCCAAACTTTGACCCTGCCGGGAAACTTAGCCAGAGCACATGCACTCAGATGTTAGGGCTCTCGGTTATGCCTTGGAGTGGACTCCATTTCATTAAAGAAAGCCTGACATGAAAACTAATAAATGAATGAGTAGCATGAAAAATTTCAGTCTAATCTTCACTCATTTTCGTAGTCATTAATGTCGTTCATAGGCATTATCGTTTAGTGCTTGGAAGAAGGGAGAAAAAAGAAAGTTTACTTAGTCACGTGGATTAAAACATATTATCTTAAGTAGGAGGTCGAAGGTCAGAATCTAAACCATGTTATTGCTTTTGTTTGGATGGATCTTCCACCTTGGTTTGATTTCTTTGGCATTTTTAGGTAAATCAAAATTTTAGTTGAGATGGGAAGGACCACTATAGAGACCCTATGTCGGTTGTGGTTGGGGTTGGGATTTGAAGGACACGACTCATAGTAATGGCTGACAATGTTGTTGGAACATATAGGTTCAAAAGTTCATGAATCACTTTCAGTCTCCCTCCCAAACATCAAACAATCCCAAAGAAGGGATTCCCCTTATTCACTTTACTCTTTTGAGGCAAATTTGTTAGATGAACAAAATTATAAGGTAAAGTTTCATGCTCAAAATATAACTTTTTTAGACCATGCTGATGAAGTGTTCGATTGTGCATAGTAAATACTTTCACCAAATTGTTTTAAAAACAATTGGAAAAATGAACGTGGTATATTAAAGAATCCAGTACGAATTGCAATATTAATACACTGCACTCAAGATGGGTGCAGGTAAAGGAAAAAAAAAAGAAAGGCACAACGTGGCCAATTTGGTAGCCAGATTGAGTGGTGGTTATGATGATGATAGAACTCCCACCGTTTGAACTCATCACTAGCCGAAATTATTTTATACGGGTTTTCCATTTCGAGTTTTCCTTCAATTTTAAAACATATTTATTAGGGAGAGATTTTATACATATAAAAAATGTTTGTAACGTCTTAAGTCCACTGCTAGCAAATATTGTCCTCTTTGAACTTTTTTTTCTAGATTTTCTCTCAAAGTTAATATTTTGTTCTTGATGAAACTATTTGATAACAAATCTTAAGTGCATGGGAGTCTATTTAGAGTTCTTTATATAATTTCAGGATCCCATGTGTGGCCTTTTCTTTTAATAAGACCAAATTGGTGTGCCAAATTGGAAGCTTTAGAAAAAGTTCTTGTCAGCCATTGATAAGTAGGTGAAAAAGAAAAATATTTGCAGTTTGAGAGAAAGATTTTAAATATTATCCCCAAAACGCACTTTAATTTTGCCCCCAACGTCCAACAAAACATCTCTCTCATCATTCTCCCGAGAATTGAAATAAATATGTAATATTCGGGGGTCTATTTTGCAATCTTGCATAATATTTGAGTTGTCAGTGCATTGCATAATCATCACACATATTTGTTTTAATATTAAAGAATAATCGTACTTCGTTTTAATATAGAAATGAAATCAATTAAGAGATACCTGTCGCCATGCAATTGCAAAATTCAAAATCTCTTCCGAGATTGGTAATCAGTTGTAGAATTTTCTGAAGAAAAATATGCAAGACAGAATCAAAAGAAAAAGGCCAAGAAATTTTTTTACAGAGTACTCGAAATTTATTAAACTAACATCCAAAGAGATGTGGCGTTCTTTTATTTAATTTTACCGCCTGTGAATGGCGGTTAGCGTCTAATCGTAATGACTTCGCCGCCTCGGCATGGAGGAGAAACAGCTATTTGAACGGCCAAGCGATCGCGAGGCGTCTTTCTTTGGAGAGTCCAGAGAGCGACGGAAAAGCTGTTTCATAGCCGAAATCAAATCCTCAGTCGGATTCACCGGCGGAATTGAAGATTTGAATGCTTTGTGAAACTTCATGTGCCTCTTCACCGCTTCACCGGTGGTAATTTTGCTCTGAGATCTGATAGATTCGTCCTTCACAGCCTCCGCACAGAGTCCACAAATCCAACGCCCTTCATACCTCTCGCGCACTCGAGCGATGTACGCTGGAGTACACTCCTCTGTCAATCCACAACACTCGCATTTTATTGACTCCACGTCGATGACTTGAGCGTTGTGCTGCGTCACCGGAATCGATTGCTCGATGCTTGCGATCACCTTCGTCACTTTCGCCGCCATTGTTGATTCTGCTCCAGCCGCCACAGAAATTCAGAATCAACAAGATCCGCGCGGTATTTCTATAGGAATATCAAATTAACAATCTAAAAAGAAAAAAAAAAAAAAAACGAAGATAACTTAACAATCAAACAGAAATTTACGCTTGTCTAGAATATTCTCTCCGGATGTTCGAATCGATCGTTCTTCTTGTGTCTGATAATATTACGGAAGATCTGACAAACTCCGGAAAAGGATGATTTGATTTGAATAAAAAGATGTGAAAGGATTTTGAATTTTTTGAATTCGAAACTCAAATCGGATCTTCCTTTATCTCTCCTTCTCCCACTCCCGCACCGTCACTTCCTCGCCGTCGATAAGCAGATTCCAAAATATCATATACATTTCAGAGCCTCAATTGGCTCCTTTTCTTTGCCTCTCACCGGAACCGGAAATTTGAGAGAACGGAGAAGGAAGACGAAGAAGAAAGCTTCTTCACTTACGTAAATGCGCTTCACTTTGGACTTATATAGCGACGGGGGCTTGGTTTAGAATCTAGACGTCCGAGCCACGAAACTGCAAAGTTATTATTAGTTTTTCTTTATATTATTATTCTTTTGTTATTTATTTTCTGAAAATTTTAAAAATTGCAGAGAAATAAAAAATTGAATTTTAAAAAATTAAAAACGAAAAAATTATATATTTACCTGAATTTTGATAAAATTGTTTAATATATAAGAATATCTATTTATATAGTCTATAAGTTCTAATTTCCATTCTAATATTTTTATTAATTAATATCAACTTTTAAATTTTGATTATTGATTCCACTAAGAGTTACTATAATTATATATCATGACAAAATTTCTCTTTAATTAAAATTTTAGAGGTTATTGACATTTAGAAAAATTGCATCATTAAGTTTATACCCTCACATCTAATAATATTTTTACTGTAATTTTAAAATAAACTTAAATTTCGATTGTAAGTTTTTAATAGAATTATTTTTAAATTCAATTGTTGTACTTTTAATAGAACTTAAATTGATTTCTACTGTAATTTTAAAATAAACTTAAATTTCGACCCAAAAAAATTAAGATATTAAATTACAAACAAATTTCGTAATTAGAATAAAATGAATTAATTTGAGACTAAATTTTTATATTGGTAAGAGTATTAAGGATAAAATTGGAAACAAAAGTAGGGGTAATATTGGGAAAATGAAGGAATATTAGTGGGAAGGGTTTGGGAACATTCATCATATTCATACGTTACTTAATTGGAAGGCCTTGGCTGTGTCCTCGTTTGTCTCATCTTCCCAAAATGCCACTTTGAGCCAGCTATCATGATAATGACTCTCTCTTCTCTCCGCCCTTTTTTTTTGTCCTCTTTCGTCTTTTCCTTTTTCTCATTTTCCTTCTTCCCTTACTCGCTTTCCCAAGCGCGTCCCCCACAATCGCTTATCTCCCCCAAAACTACAATTTTAACCATATATATATATATATATTAAAGAAATAGTTTGAAAAATAAAAAATAATTTTTTAAAAGGTTTTTAAGGGTTGATTTGGTTATATAATATAATAGATTAAAAAAACTCATATATTTATAGTTTAATTTTAAGAGTATTAAAAAACAAAATCTTCGACGATTTATTTTTGTTTAAGAAAATTATCTTCGTAAATACTAAAAAAATTATATTTTCAACTCTAAAACTAATTTTTTTTTTCAAAGATTAATATTAAAAGTATTTGTCATTTTTCTAAAGGGGGAAATTAAATTAAATTAAATTCATTACAATTTTAGCCTAAGACAAACGAGATGACGTGTATATGTCGAGCGTGAAGTGGTCGTAGTAGTAGTTGTGGTTCCCATAGGAAGTAGAACAAGTGGCGGCCCACACGTGATCGCAGGCATGTAGTGTGTGGTTAAAACGATGGCGTTTAGCGTATTCATGGGTCCAAAAGAGGGGCGTGGGCCTATTGAATTGGGCCACGCGGCCCATTCTTAATGAACGTTCTGGCCCAACAAATATCTGCCGTTTTTTTTTTTTTTGTAATTTTGCTATAAATACTGAAGCAGGTACAAATTACACACGCTTCAAATCTGTTTCTTTCCCTTGTCTTTTAGTTCCTACTTTCACCAAAATTTGGTTGCCAACTCAGCTTTTGTGCATTTTGAATGTTGATACGTTAATTTTACTTTTTCAATTTAATAAAATTAAAATCACTTTTTAATCTTTAAATTTTTTTATTTTGTCCGTTGGTATTTAACATGTTTATTAAAAAAATAAAATTAAAATGATTAATTAATATATTTTTGCTTTATTATTGGTATAAAATTTAAAAATTAAGTTGTCAAATTTTGAATGTTATCCGCTTTAACTCGTTACGTATCGTCGTTAGTCTCACGATTTTAAATGCATCATGTTAATGAAAAGTTGACATACCCTTATACAAAATATGATTCTTTTCCCTCTCTAACCGATATATCACTGTCAGCCTCACGATTCTCTGTTTTAGTCTGTTATGTATCACTGTCAGCCTTAGAGTTTTTAAACATATATGTGCTAGGAAGAGATTTCTACACAATTATAAAGAATGCTCTGATACCCTGTCCAACCGATGTGAGATCTCACAACAAATAGCACTCACATTCACTCTAACAATCGCCCTTGAAAAGCTGCAACAATAGTTACCCTAATTTATATGCACCATGACAATAGAAGTTTCAAATCATACTAAAGAAAAACTCGGAAACCAAATAGGAAAGCCACGAACATTTTGACTCAACAAAAGCGTTACAACATTACAACGTCCAAAAAGAAAATCGAGGTATTTAATAAAAAACGTTACAACGTCAAAAGAAAGATTGCACACATCTCGTATAGAAGGCTCAACGTGTAGTGTTGAAATGGTAAGGCTATTGTTCGATTTCTATGACAGTGTCATAAAAATTTATCTTCGAGTGTTCTGACGACGCTTGACATTGATCCCTATCAAATAAATAATTATTATAAAATGTTTTAAAAATTAATTACTACCATACCATTAAATCAGTAAAATTACGTAGGATTATTAAGGAAACAAAATTATACTTATAATTGATTTACAATAAAAACAAAAGTTTGATCATGCTGTTTTCAATTTTAAAATGTAGGTACCAAATTAAATTTAAATTATTAAATTATTTATTTTCGAATTGGGCCAAAGTAAATGGGCCGATTATTTTACACGTTAAATAAAAAAATAATAAAGAAATAAAATTCAATAATTAAAGAAGAATAGGTGGAGGCTTTATTTCAAATCCCAATTTCGTGCTCATCTGTTTAATTTGGATTATAAAAATAAAAATTGAGATTTTTTATTTTTTTATTTTTTTATTTTTTTATTTTTTTATATTTAAAAAAAGAGAGAGAAGTCAAATTGAGTGGCGAAGGGCTTAATCGTCATTTTGAATTTTATATCTTTGTGGTGGTGCTGGCTGCTACTGGTATTAGCCAAGGAGGGTTTCTCCCACAGAGAGAAAGGGAGGGAGGCAGAGAGACTAGAGAGATAGGCGGAGGGCGGAGAGAGAAGTGGGAGAGAAGATGAAATTCTGAAAGCTAATAGAACACTGAAGAGAGAGTGAGATAGTGAGAGAGAGAGAGAGACTTGCGAAGTTCGAAATTGAAGATAAGAGTTAGTCCTTATCTTTAATTCTTTAGCCTTCTGACTTCTGACTTCATCCGATCCGTTTCCATGGATCCTTTCGATTTGTTTCGGAAAGGTAAAGAGAAGTATATTCCTCGCAACTGGTTTTCTAATCTATGGATTCATGTTTAGGTCGTCGCTGTGTACAGTAGCAATAGCAATAATTCTGTACCTAATTTGGAAATTTCTGTGATTGATTTCTTGTTCTTTCTGATTGTTCTGTGCATTGAAATTACTGAGATCTCTTTAATGTCAGTGTGTAGTTACGAGATTCTGAATCTTGTTTTATCCTATTCTGATTTTCTGGCTAACGATATACTTGTTACCTCAATTGTAAAGTTTGGTAGTTTATGTTTATGGTCAGGTTCAGATTTCTAGTTCTACAGGTAGTTGTGTACTTTATCTTGTTTTTATTCTCGTTATGAAGTTTGTTGTTGTTTTTTTTCCCCCTAATTTATTTTGATGTAACGAATGTCACGTTTTCCTTCATACCAATTGTAATAAATGTTTTCTGCATGATGTTTTTGGCTTCGGTATTCCCGTTGCTCGTACTTAGCTGACATGAAGTGTTGTCTGGTAATGTAAGTGTATGATAAATTCATGAACTGAATGGTTACTTTATCCCATTTCTATCAAATGAAACTTGAAAGCTTGAATTACTTGCAAGACTTCTAGTTTGAACGATATAGTTTCTTCTAGTTTAAACTATCCATGCTGCAATGCATAATTTTTCGTGGGGATAATTTGTACAGTTTCTAAATGGAGATTTATTGAATATTTGCAGTTCATTTCATTTCAGAATAGGATGGAAATCAGTCCATTTAAGTTTACTTGACTTACTAACTAGTCGGATGAAATGAAATCATATTTTGTAGGTTTTGGTTGAGGCTACAAAAAGTTGAGCTTTTCCCTATAGAATTTTTTCAAATACATGTGAGCGTTCTATTTCGTGTTAGCAAATAATGTATGTGTCCAAGAAAGGAACGAAAACCTTTGAGGCAAAACAAAACATTGGAAGCAAGGTGACAGCTTTGAATCCAAATGCTGCTGAGTTCATTCCCTTCTCCCTCAGAGCATCTCCAGTTGGAAGTAGCAGTGTGCCAGACTTGACAGCAAGATTTTCTACTTCTGGGACATTGGGGAAAGCTGTTCTAGATCGGACTGAGTCGTCTGTATCAAATAATTCTGATGATGAGGCCCGCCAGTTCTGGAGGCATCAGCTCCCTGATGATATCACACCTGATTTCAAGTCAATGGGAGAAGATGAGAACCTATCTCTTGGAAATATTTCAATGGCAGGCCTGTCCCTGCATGATGACAGTGAAACCTCTTTATTCGCTGCTAATATTGGCAGTGAATATTTGTTGAATGATCAGCAGGATTCAAATCTAAATCACTTTAATGGGAGTCAATTTGCTGATAAGTTTAGATTTTCTTCCGCTTATGGAGAAGATCCATCTTCAGCCAGTCTTTTCCAAATTTCAAATAAACCTTGGCAGAAGCCAGTTCTCAATAGCAATCAACCTGTTAGCGACGAGCAGCACCTTCCTTATCACAACAATTCCGGGAGGGGATTAGCCATGGATGTATTGGGCAAGCAAACAACAATGGATGAAAGTGATATTCTGAACCCTGTTGAGTTTCTGGCTTTACAGTTCCCTGGTTTTGCTGCTGAAAGCCTCGCAGAAGTTTACTTTGCTAATGGCGGTGACTTAAACCTGACGGTTGAGATGCTCTGTCAATTAGAGGTAAGTTGACTTTTTTAAGATGCGAATAAAGTAAAAACTCAATTACAGGTCAGTTGCCTTTCGAAGGCATCAAGTGGAAGCAACATTTCATCTTCAAAACATTTTTACATTTGACAACTTGTTTTTTATTCGATGGTTTTGCGGGTATGTTAATTTAAGTCATAACTTTCATAGGTCATGTAACATCTTGAGCTCACTTGCCACACTCTTTATTCCTCTCGTGCGTGAAAACTGTTACTGAGGTTAACTGTGCTTGAGTGAATTTTTATTTGTCATTTCTTGATATTACAAAAATCTCTTATTAAAGTCTACGAATGCTTGTTCTAGTGGTATAGCTATGTGAATCATAAACATACTTTGCAGAATAGGGGTAGAGAGTTTTCTGGTGACATATAGCACAATCTGAACTAGATGATCTGGTAGAACCTTGTCTTCATTGTTATATAAAGAGATTGTCAGCCAGCACCATACTCTTGTTATTTTTTGTATGACTGTATATATTACTATGTAGTTATCATACTGTACTCTTTTAAACTGTAGCTTCAAGTTGATGGTGAGATAAGTCAAAGCCTGAATTCCAAGACAGTGTCTGCCCCCAATCTTAGTGCAGTGGACTTTCCTGCGCTTACAGTGTCAGGTAATCAAAACGGTCATCCAAAATTTGATGGGGCTGATCTCCAACAAAGTAGCAACTCTTATCTCTCTTCTGATAAGGATGGAATGCTTTTCTTCAAATCCAGCACCGCCCCATCTAGAGGTGCTGCAGATTTTGCTTCCACTGTCAGGAAATTGGCATCTCAGGATTCTGGTATGTGGAAGTACAATGGAAATGGTTCTGCTGATGATTCTATTGGCTCAAGTAGAAGCTCTCATACTTTAGCTAGCAAGTATACTACTGGTGGTCATGGGAAAGACACCTATAGTGAGAGGTTGCTACACCGAGGTTCAGCTCGGGCTGCTCCTGTTTGGCTTGAAACTGGCGAAGCAGTTGGTAATTGCATAGCTGTCAAAATTCGTTGTCCTTGTTGGGATATGATGTGAAACTGAATTTTGTACGGGTTTCTGCTTTAACAATATTAACTTGGCAGGAAACATGTATACTGAGCAGCGGGAGGAAGCACGTGATCATGCACGGCTGCGAAATGCATATTTTGAACAGGTGTGTAAGAAAGGTTGTTGGTTCTCTCCTTTGTGCTCCCCCGCCCACCACTCATATTTGACTCAGGTAATTACGCTCTTTTATCTAAATAGGCACGACAAGCGTACCTCATCGGTAACAAGGCTTTAGCGAAGGAACTAAGTATGAAGGGACAATTACATAATATGCAAATGAAGGCAGCTCATGGAAGGGCCCAAGAATCTATTTATCGGCAGAGGTTTGTTTCCCATCTTGATTCGAACAAGGTTGATGCAGGTGAAATTTCATGGTTAATTTTGATTTCCTATTATTGTCATTCTTGCAACAACTCTGTGCTCAAAGATAATTTGGAGAAGGTGTATCAATTCATATCCTGAAGAATGTTATATCTTTGATTACTTGGACTGAATCATCCTATTGTTTTGACATGGCTCTGATCATTCAATGAACGGTTCAAAGAGTGATGGCACGCTTTTCTTAAGACTTGCACAACGACTACAGGAATTTTCTGAATTGCTTGATAACTCGCTTACAGTTCATTCTGTTCTTCTGTTTATTGATGTGTACGGTATTTCTTCAGGAATCAAATAGGTGCAGACAGTCCAGGAAATGGAAGAGGACACGAACGCATGATCGACTTGCACGGATTGCACGTTAGCGAAGCGATTCATGTCTTGAAGCACGAGCTGAGTGTGCTGAGGGGTACTGCCAGGGCCTCCGGACAACGTCTGCAGGTTTATATTTGTGTTGGAACAGGACACCACACCCGGGGCTCCCGCACTCCTGCTAGACTTCCGGTAGCTGTACAGAGATATTTGATCGAAGAGGAAGGCCTCGACTTCAGCAAGCCTCAACCAGGGTTGCTCAGAGTTGTGATTTATTAAACCATGGAGGGAAAGAGCTCAGTGAAGTGCAGTAGTTTTTTTTTTCTTTTTGACAAAAAAAAAAAAAAAAAAAAAGCCATGAAATCATACTTGTGATAGTCATCATGTTGTTGTATCGCAAATGGTCAGGGTGGGGAAAAGCTTATGGAGGCCAAAAGGAAAAAAAAAAAAAAAAAAAAA